AAAAAAAAAAAAAAAAAAAAAAAAAAATCGAAAAAAAAGAACTGAAATACAATAGAATGAAATTAATCATAATATAATTTTGGTTTTCTGTATTAATGAATTTTTTAGTGAGTTTTTTTTCTATGTACTTTTATTATCGCATATAAATTTTGTATAGACAGGAGAACATTTCAATATTTCAATATGGAATTATAATGTACAAAAAAATTATTAAATATTTGAATTCTTTTAGATGAACAACAACTTTATTTAGAATATATTTTCATGAATGTGATGAGATTATAAATTTAACAATTTTTAAAATTTTTGTATTTAAAATTTAAAAAATTTTTAAATTTTTATAATAATTAAATAAAAATTTATAGAGATATTTATATAATATATAAAAAATTTCTACATGTTAAAGTAATAGAACTATAGAAATTTCTGCTGCACTATAATTATATACTTTTTAGCTTTGTATTTTTTAATTGCACTCTGGAATAATTCCAATACATTATTAATTCTCAATAGATGTTATTATCATTCATATCCAACATCAAACTCAAAACATTAATATAAAACTCTCTCTTAAAAAAAAAAGAATTAAGAAAGTATAAAAAAAAAAAGAATCATTATTAGAAATATTTTGGATTTGAATTTTAAAAACCTAGTTGGGAAAACATAAATTCAAGTCGCAATTCTATTTTACTCTGAAAGTAGTAAAGGAAGAATAAGAATTGGCTTTAAAGTTTTAGAGCCAATATTCTGACGTCATACAGATTTGAAGGTGGAGAGAGAACAAACTAACTGTAGAGACATAGATTTAATCGACAATCCCTACTTAGCCTGACTTTTCCCCTCTACTATTCCTAAATCAGAGTGTGACGTCAGACTCTAAAAGTCTGGAATCCCCGTCGATAACCCTGCATGCAAGATAAAATAAAATACAAGAGGCAGCAAACTTACGAATTCTGTGTGGATCGAGCAAGTAAAAAAGAAACGTTTTCTCGACTGGATGCACCTTAACACTCCTGAGAATTACTTTTCTAACAGATTAATTGCGTTTCAGTTACCACGGGTCCCGTAAAGTCAACGTGATCGACTTCCGCCAAGTGGCGGTTCGGTTCCCATGGCGAAGATTCCTACCAAGCTTTTGTTCATGCGGAGAAAGAGAATGAGAGAAGAAAAAAAAGGATATGTGATGGAAAGAGATCGTAGATATACAAAATGACATGGTGATCGTTTCAAAAATGATTTAAATAAGAATAAAAAATAATTGTAAACGCATATTACATAAATGTATTTCATATGTGACACAAAAATAAATGCGTAAAAATAAAAAATGAACGTTTAAATGTTTAAACGTATATTTGAAAAGTAATGTAATTTATTGAGTGCGTGTTTTAAAGGAAATTAAGAATTGTTTAGCTTATAAAAATGAAAATATAATAGTAAAACTTTGAACATTTATTTCACTTCTTTAAATGATAATTACATATTCACAAAAACTTTTTCATTAAAAATAAAAAAATTATTTATTCGCATTTCATTGTTTAAATTCAAAAACTATCCTACAGATCTTTTCTAAAGAAAAAGAAAGATAAACAAATAGATAGAGATAATAAAAGAGAAAAATACTTATGTATATGCTTTATATACGTATAAATTTTAATTTTTCATTAAAATCAGAATTTTCCAATTATCTAAATTTTTCTATAAAAAAACTTGTTCAAATACTTTCTTGAGTCTTTGTAAGCTTATACCGATTTTTTTTTTCGTATAAACCATCTTAAACCATTCTTGAAACGCTTCTTGTAACAGGACATCCTATATAACCAGACTAAAGAAAAAGAAAGACAGAGATAGATAGATAGAGGTGGTAAGAGAGAAAGATGGCTTCGGTAATTTACTGAAGGAATTTAGACGTCACATGTCACTAGCATGAAGCCAACCGGTAAAGTTGCTCTCCTTGTAGCTGGTGGGCACGTCGAAAGGACGTTTGATCGCTCGAGTGGCTGTCGAGATTCTTGTTTCCCTTGTATCGACGTCGATCCAACGAGCAAATAACTTCCGGGCTAGAGACAAGCGTTGCCCTCTCCTCTCGTTCATATTTATACGATATTCTATGGAATTTCGTTATGCTTCGATACGCCGCAGGTATATTTAGATTTTTCTGTCTTCTTCTCTATGTTTTTGATTAAAGTCACTCTTAATCTCTTTGATGGAAAATCACTTTTGTGTGTGGTATTATTTAAAAAAAATGTTATTCGATGTGTGGTGTCCAATAATTGAGAGATAAAGAGAAATAAATAGAAAATTCTGAGATAGTTATTACTTTATTAAATTAATTATAAATTATGAATGATGGATTGTAATGTGTGTAAGTAAAGTGAGTAAACGAATTTTTATGCAGAATTTTATTTTTTGAAGAAGAATTTGATAAATTCATTTGATTTTTCTATTTTACTTTCTATGACATTTAAAAGGTAATATTTTGATATTTTTAATTTAGAGAGATAAAAAATTATAATATCAAAAGCAGAATTTGCAAAACGTGAATTTCAATTTAGAATATTGAAACAAATTTTATATATTCTTGATATACATTTCCTTCGAAAGTAAAATGATAACTCCTTCACCTCTTTTAAATTTACATTCACGAGTTTCATTTATATCCAACTCTCGTTTAAAAACCATTTCGAAGATGATTCAAAAAGCCTCTTAATATTTCCAGTTATTTCGACCATTTGTTCCAACACTGATTCACATATTATCCTCATCAGAATAAAATTCACAAGTGAACTATCGAGAAAACGAAGAAAAAATTCTGCGACTTAATTTCGCATCCCAAACGCCCTCTTTTCAAGAAAGAAAATGAACTTACCGGCTGTATTCCGGAAACAAAGGAAACCAGGCTCATCTAGAGATCCAACCGTTTTATCGTATACGTTGCACTTGACGTTTATGCGTTCCCTGTCATCGTATAAATTTTTATGAAAATGCATTTCCTTCCCTTTCTTGTGAAACTTTATTGTGCGCAATCTTCGCTTAAATCTTCTCCTTATTGTTATCGCTCTCTGTTTTTTTTCTTAAATAAAAGTAAATAGTCCGACCAAATACCGAAGTTTAACGATTAGGTTAGAAAACCTTTATAGTGAGATTAAATTTTACTTGTATTTTGGATTTATATAATTCAAGAATAAAATTATGTAGATAATATAAAATTTTGGAATTTGTTTATATTGAGATATGATGAAAAAAAGTGCAATATGAATTTAAATTCATAAATACACGGTTACTTGCAAAATTGTACAAAGAAAAGAGCAACCATTTAAGATCATAAATTCTAATATTTTCAGTTAAGAATTTTGGTGTTTATCTCCAATATGAAATTTTAATTTAATTCTTGAAAATATTTCTTCTTATATTTTTCACAAATATAAAATTTTGACTTTTTAAAATATTCCTAACCTATTTTATTCCTCCTAAATTAATATTTTTTTATAAACCAAAATATATATCAATTTTTTAAAACTGTTTTCTTTATCTTAATTAAATAAAAGTTAATTTATTATAAAACAGATTTATTTTAACTTTCTAAAAAAGAAAGAATCTTATATACATATAATTTGACATCCATATCGTATATATTTCACAATATCGATGTATATATCCGATCCAATTTCTAAAAAGAAACGGAAAATAAAATTGCCGATAAATAGAAATTCCGAACGAACAATTTGACCGAAAGTGTCAATTGTCTGTTAGGGTTTTGCAATAGTTGGGACCAGTTTGCGATCAGACAGCCGATGTATGATCGGTCAAAACTTATTTCCCTCGGGTGTCATGATTCGATTCGACTCGACTCGATTCGAGAAGAGATGGCACTGTTTCGCTCATCTTGGTTTAGTACTCTTTGTTTTTCTCTGTCTCGTTCTTTTACACTGAGGCATCAATCTGGAAAAATCCTGCGTGTCTCACGAGATCGAACTATCGGAAAAAATATATCGACTTTCGATTATTTCTTCAATATTGGTAAAAGTGCTTAAAGTCAGTTTTAAGTGAGTTATTTTAAAATTATAATTTTTAATGATTATATTATTTTATTTATCTCTTTTTATAATTTAAAATTTTAATATTACACGATTAATTTATTAGTTATATAATAATTATATTTGAATGAAAAAAAAAATGATAATTTTAGATAAAAAATTACGAATAATGAAATTATTAATTTTTCAGAAAAATCCAAGTCATTTTCACCATCATAATTTAATTTTCAATTTTGCAGCAATGTAATATATACTTTGTATCTAAATATATTAATTGTTCGCAACTAAATATTTTTAAAATAAAATTACACAGCTCGTACATCTAAAGTCTCTTTTTTTTTTTCAATTTCAATTGTGACAGAATATCATCAAAAAATAATCAAAACTTACTTAGAACAAAATTTTTTAAATTTCCATTTGCAATAACAAAAGTAATTCGTATTTCTTTGCTTTCTCAAGTCTTTGCTCAAAAATCAAATTTCACCAGCTTCGAAGACAACATCAAATTCAAAAAAAAGCTAGCTAAATGCATTAAAGTTTACAAGATTATTAAAATTTTCATGCTATAACGATGCATCTCGAGCACTTACATATGGGCGATTTTCGAGAAATAACCAAGGAAGGGGATGAAAACTAAATCTGTTACAGCTGAAAAGCGGAACATCGAATTTCCCCGAGATTTTCCGGAAACCATGTTCACCCGCTTCCGGGAGTGATTGTAAAATGGCTCGATATCGTGAAAATATTTCGAGCTTAAAAATCTCGAGATGAACCCCTGTGGATCGTTGCAAGTGAAAATTTTAAAATTCTTTTAAATTCTTTTAAATTTTTTATGGAAGTATCCGTTGCCATCGTCACTGCGCGTGGTGATTTGTTGGGTGATTGTTTCGGGATAAAAATTTGTAAAAAAGGATACCGAATGGTTTTTCAAATGCTGTTGTGGAGGAAATAATATTTCATAATTATTGTTTTTGTATGGATTGAACGGGATTAAAATTTTTTGATTGCTTTCAATTTTCGAAAATGATCAATAGAATTTTTGTGGTTTTATTATTAATTGAAATATAATGAATATATGATAATATATTAATTATTTAATTTATGAATTATATAATTTATTAAATATCTGATATTTAATGTATAATAATTAATGAAATTTAGTAATTAATCACTTATGTAAATATCATATATTTAATTGTAGAATTCGTTATTTATTCTTTAATAATTTATATCATTTATAATTTCAAAAGGAGAAATATTTATAAGATAAATATATCTTGCTAAATTTTAATATATTTCTGATATTAAAAATAATTTAATAATTCAAATAAAATAACATCACGAGAAGTTAAATATTTTCATTTAATTCTGAAGTATTCAAACTAATGCGAAATTATTTCTTTTCAAATAATCGTTAAGATCTTTTGAAACGAAGTCTTTCACATTTATGGAATACGCTTGAATCTCCATCCTTAACGATTCCAAGCGTAGAATATAGATTCTTTAAACGAATCTGTCGATTCGTAACGGTTTTTAAAACCCTTAGATGGAGTCAATCCGAACTTTAGACTTCAAAATTAAATTGCAGGCTTAGCGGATCCCAACGAATGATTCCATCGCGTCTTATTCATAAATTTTCCTCCTGTCTTTCGTTTTTTTTGTGCCTTCGCGAGACGCTTTGAAAAATCAACTGATAAAATTTAATCGAACATCGTCCATAGAATTTTATATAATCACAGAGAAAAATAGTTTCTAATCATTATAATTTTTATTATATTAATAATAAAAATACGCAGGAATATCGAATATTGATTTAAACTTTAAAAAAATATAATATTAATAATATTAATTCGTTTTCAATTTGAAAAATAAAAGATCTGAAATTTATTATTTTGTTAGATTCAATCGGTTTCCCTGTCAGAAAATAACGAGAAATGTTCGAGTAACTTCGGCTGATATCGGGTAACTTCGGCTAATCTCGCTAAGAAGTGTCGACCAACATCGGTTAACTTCGAGCAGAGTCAAGTAACAAGCTGAAAAATTAATTAATCAAAATTTCAAATAAAAATATTTTTTCTAATAATTTTATTTAAAATACTCGAATAATATTTATTCGAGTA